AGCTGGAAAGCGGCACTGATCCTGGCGCTTCCGTTGAGCCCTGACAGCCCTGCAGCTCCAGCCATCTCTCGCTCAGGCTTGTGCGGTGCTGCCACCGGTTCAGCTCATTCCCCTCCCCTGCTACCACTTTTCTAGGATGGTCGCGTACCACCTGCCAGGTGCCAATGTACCACAGGTGGTACCCGTACCACTGGTTGAAAAGCCCTGGGCTAATAACATGAACCCCCTATCTGTGGTACTGAATCCTTCCAAGAAGAGTTGGATATTAGATCTCTATTGTGGGAAAACTACAAGAAATTTCAAATTCTAGCCAATGTGATTCGGTCTTGCCTAGCTTTGTCTTTGTTTTACTTTCAAATCATTGTGTGTATTAATGGGATTTTGGAAAGAAGTATAACAGGTAAAGACATAAATATGAACTATATTCCTAAAATAGAGAATTTATGATTTTATGAAACCCTTTGATTCTACTGAACCTGGGACACAGCAAAAGGATTTAATTCCACATAAATGTAAAGAAATTTAACTATCCTGATATTAAAAAATGGATTCAAGATATGCATGTTTTGCCTATTTTTGAAAAGATTTTATATTCTAAAAATGAGAAGATGAAGCAATGTTCCCATATGGTCTAAATTTAATGATAAACTTATGAATTTAAATTCTAAGTTGATAGTGATTAATCATTACATTGATTTTATATAATTTTTCTTTTTTGCTTATATCTCCTTTTTAAAATTAATATCAGGTTCCTATCTTTATGTATTACATCCTCCTCAACCTAAACCAAGGTCTCTTCACTCAAGGTTGTACACTATAATCTACCATCCTGGCTTAATAGAGTTTGGTAGACAGATGTTTTTGACTTCCAAGTCTAGAACTGATAAGAGAGAGTAGTAAGTAACCTGACCAGAACTAGAACTGAGTCTCCCTATTAGCACTTTAAGTGCTATACTACGCTGAATGTCATAACCACTATATTTGTTAGTATTCGAGCTCTTGTACTTCACTCTTCAAAATAAATTATTTTAAAAAAGAAATGAAACTTAAATATGAAGAAATCTTTTTGAAAATGGGTTCTGTCAAAATCAAAAACAAATGGGAATTTATTTATCAAGGATTTTCTTTTAGCCAGACTGAAACTAACGTTACACAATCATCCCAGAAAAGACAGACAGGCAGAGGTGGTCCTGCAGGTATTCTGGTCCTATGCCATGAAGGGCTTCATAAGTAACGACCAGCACCTTGAAAAAGCTACTGGGAGGCAGCATAGCTTGTGGAGCAGTGGTATTACATGGGTATTATGTGTGGAATGCCAAAACCTGCCAAAGGAACAGTAGGCAAAAATCCATATCCATCCATCCATCCATCCAAAGAATAGACGGGTGGGGAGGGAGACATTAACTGTCTGTAAATTAATAATCTCTAGTCATAACATTAGTTGTTCCTCCATAAGGATCTACCAATTAATCTTTTCTCACATATAAAAGCATGGAAGCATGTATACATTTCCTCTTCTCCTAAAATCTAGCAGAAACAATGAGGGAAGTGGAGAGGAAGGAAGTGATGAGGTGAGGGCAAATGTAACCCATTTAGATGCTGGGGTCAGAGCAGCTTCTTTTATTTTTATCAGGCTGGCTGGTCTAGCAATTCACCAGACCAGCAAATTTGGTACTTTGAAAAACAGGCAACACCTTAAGACACCTACTGTAGAATAAGTTATGGAACTATCAGATGGTAGAAAAATATTAACCATCCAATAAAAGAGTAACTTCTCAAGTTTATTTTGATTTTTAAAACTGAAGACTTCACGAATGCTGAGGCAGCAATTTCAAATAATTACAGCAGGCAGATTATAGCCATAGAAAATTGTTAATATTGACAAGAGCTGGCATCTATCCACACAATATAGTAATTAGATTATTTTTGCAGAGCCCAAGAGAGAGTGGAAGGCGACCCTAGTCATATGAAATGTTCAGTTGTAGAAATGAAACCAGGTTACTCTTTTCTACACAAATTCACTATTATAATACATAGAATCCCTATAACAGTATTCAGAATTTACCTCGATTCTCTGTCTCGCGTGCAGACATTAGGAGAAAAAAAAAGACAAAGATTTAGACATTTTAGAAAATGACAAACCTTCATAAGTATAATTTTGTAATATCCACTACAAGAAGTGTTGATATTTAGGTTAATTGTTTTGTTGAAATCAAGCAGGCAAACCAAGATGGGCCATCTTTGCACTGTTATAAAGGACCTAATTTTTAATGAGGAAAAAAAGTTCCAGAATTCATAGTAGTATGAAAATACAATTGATTTTTTTTTCTGGAAAAGGGTGAAATGTTAACCAATCTTGAAACTATTATGAAACCATATGAAATGACATATTTATAACTGTTAACACAATTGTACTAAGATCTAATTCATGCAAATAATAAATACTGCATTGTAAATATTGTTATTTACACTTCCCTTTAATAAAACACACCTTTCAAAAACTATCAAAAATTAGCCATTAAGATTATGAATAGTTTACAACCAATTCTTGAAGATAATGAGCTATATCATAAATATCATATGCAAAAATCACATCAAAACTTAACAAGAAAATAACTTCGAAATAAACAGATATGGAAGGAGTCTATTTATTTCAATACTTTAGAGTGGTGCCAGTTAAAAGTCCATTTTGAGGGTAGAAGTTGATTATGCCGAAAAGATTACGGTTGGGCTTAAAACATAAGAGTGAAATCCATGTAAAAGCTGCCAAACTAAGCTGAAAATAGTTCAGGGTGAAGATTCTGAACTTTCATCCCTGATATTTTACCTTTTCCCAGAAATTCAATGGAAGTAACATCCTAGTTAACCTCTTAAACCAAGCAACCCTATAATGTGCCATAATTTCCAACAACCACAAAATCATAGAAAGGCAAGTATAGGTGAAGTTAGCCCACAACTCCTGGTTAGTTCAACTGGGTATTGTCCTAGCTAACTGAGAAAAAGGATAGCACCTAAAAAAATGCCCATTCCCAGTTTCCCCTCTGCTCTGTTATTCTAATACTGCATGACTACCTTTGTGTGATACCCAAATGAATTTGAAAATGCGCCTCTGTCGTTCTAAACCTTGTAGTGGCAAATACATGTGTCTGGTAAGCCCAACCATTATTGGTAAAGTCCTGGAACAGGCTTGCAGCTTCCAATCTATTGTGAAGAGCAAGCTATCACTCTACTTAGAAAGAAATGTATCTTAGTAAAAATAACAAGAGTTACAGACAGTACTAATTCTGAGCAGCATTCCTTGAAGAAAATGAATACTGTACATTCCTGGCTCTCCCAAAAGGATTTGGGGAGAAGTGCAAGGAGATGATCAGCAGGTTAGGTTAGGCACATTTATTCACAATTCCAAGTCTTACTCCGCACCAAAAAAAACCCCAAAAAAACAAAACCACGTTGTTCCTACTCCAAAATATTTAGTAAAATTCATTAAAAGGGATGATATATTTCACATTAACAATAAAATGCTGAATGCTCTATTGTTTCAGCAATGCAATTGTATTATGTTGCATTTTCAGGAGGGGAACCTCTTATACTGTCAGCTAAGTTGACATTGTGGCAAAGAATAAAATTTGTTCATTCAAGAGAGACTGTCTCTAAGAAAAAGCTTCTGATCAAAATGGGGAAATTTTTAAAAATCCACATCAGATCAAGAAGGGTTGTACGTTCCAAAGATCAGGAAACAGACATGTCTAGTGAGACACATATCTAAAGGAAATAGAATAAAACAGGCAGTTATTTCTTTTAAGTGGTATAGAAAAAGAAGTATTATAGAACATTCAAAGAAACAGAGCAAAACAAAGTAAGGCTTCTTACTTGTAGATGTTAAAAAAATGAAAGCATAGCTATATTCCTCAAAAGCCTTTGACTGAGGAAATTCTACAACAGAATGCAGTTCTGACATATACACCTAACATTAGTAATTTGTTAAAGGCTTTAACAAGTGTGAGCATGCATAACACAGATACTCCCCCTCTTCAATGATGTTTGAATATGCTTTAGTTCCATAGGAATAGGACAAATCAACCCCCAGGCCAAATTGACTTAACCTGCAAACCAAGCTGAATCCAGATTATGAAGTGGATATATTTAAATTCTCCTCCTACCTTCAGCTTAACATACTAGCACAAAGCTAATGATAAGAAGCTTCTATGTTGGGCGAAGTCATTTCACTGTTAGTGATAACAACCTATGGATCAAAGTTACTTAGGTTTCATGCTGTTGGTGCTATATGCATTACTTATCCATCAGTCAAGCTATACTTTCAGCCAAATAGTGCATTTTGTTAAGGAATACAAATCCATGTATTTGCATAAATATCCAGATACAGTCTCCCAAACTGAGAAGTGATTCAATGATACAGCAAAACCATCCAAACATTACACCAGAATTGGTTACATGTGAGAAAAGCTTGCATTTACTATAGTAGATATTATGTATCTACAGCAGACACATCCCCATTTTGGCAAGTTAGCATTTCCACAGACAGGTCAACAAAAATAAAAAATAAAAACAATGAAAATAATTTTCACTAAAAATAGAGAAGTTCCCACATCTTTATGGATAGCATTCCAAAATGTACCTTCCTACCAGCTGTGCAGAATCTACTTCCTGTTGAAGAAATGAATGTGATCAGCCCTGCTTGCTCCATCTAGTGTTGGAGGGTAGAGAAAATGTAATAAAAAGTCTTGCTTTTTATTGGACACTTTCTTGTTTTCATTTCTGCAAGTTGCAGTGTGGAATAAGGAACACAGAAAAATATTGTTTTGTGACTGAAGGTCCTATCCAAGCCAAAGTTACAGTGTCTTAAACAAGAACAAAAAAGTTTACTTTGAGGAAGAAAGGAAAAAATTAGAATTGCCTTATCACAGTGATCCCAAAGATCATCCTTTACAAAGCATGGAAACCTCCGACAGTGTTGGCCAGATGCAGAATGAAAATTTCCACAAAGCTAAAAGCACCCCTATTGTAAGTCTCACTGATGTTTAGTAGTGGTTAAAAACCTGAGTGACACTGTAACCGAACACACAATTTATTAAAGATGAAACACCTCTCTGGAGGGGACAAGGAGGGACAACAACCAGCTAAATTACAAGTTTCATCATGTAAACAAAAACAAGCACCACATTCCTAAATGGAGGTGGATGACAATAGTGCCAAGTGAGGAACTCTGAAGCAAAAAAAAGAGAAAAGTTCAACCTGATTGCACCAAAAAGGAGCTTGAGCGCATGCAAGTCTTATTTGTTTAGTGCTTAGTGTGTAGAAGTGACTCGCTTAATCAAGAAGGAACAATCTGGCCCTATATTCTGCCAGATTTCAGGGGCTCTCTGGTATCCCATCATCCTGTGTGTTGTCATCTATCTCCAGCTCCGCTAGCTGCCGTCTCAGCATGTTGACTTTCACTTGGAGTTCCTTGTTATATTTTATGATGTTGATCATTTCTTCATAAGATTCATCCACAAATCTGGAGGATCTGTTCCAGCGAAGAAAAACTCCTGGGGGTAATAAAAAACAACAACAAAAACCACTTTTAAAAATGCTTTCTATTTCATAAAAATCAGTAGTGGGGAAATGGTAATATAATTTTATTTATGCAATGCTTTCATTTCATGAATAAAAGAGTCTAAAATATGGGGATAGTGTAGGGAAGAGCAAGAACAATCAGGTGCTGCTTCATCTCCTTCAGATTACTTTGATCTCAAATGGCTAGTCCTGACAGAAAAGTTGGTGGAGGAAGCTCTCCATTCTGGCAAGATACAAAAACTGAGTCACACAGCACAATCATCTGTGAACTGATGGATTATTAGCAGCTCCCTTCCAACAAGCCAGAAAAGTCTGTCAATGAGTTCAGCTTTGTTTTTCTGTTAACTCCCAGAAAGCAAAACCAAGCAATACAGGCTGGCTCTCTAGTAGCTCCTCTAAAAAATAATTAAAAAAACCAATAAGAAGAGCACATTAGTTGTGAATTTCTACCGGCTTTCTTTCTTAGAGTGAGGTAGCTGTGAACATTTTAAAGAGGAATGTTATACAACTATGTATCTCTCTATGGAACAATTTTCAATCATGAAGGCAGGAACAACTGTTAGTTTAACAGCTCTGCAAAAAACATACTGACAAATTCTGGCAATGTCATCTGAAGAGAGGATGAGGGTGAAAGGACAGCTGTTTGCAGCCTGTGGGCAATGGCCTCTCTATTCTGGCTTTGCAAAGATTCTGAGGAAGGAGCTATTCCAATATTACCTATACCAGTGGTTCTCAACCTGTGGGTCGGGACCCCATTTGGGGTCGATCAACCATTTCACGGGGGTCGCCAAGCAAGGCTGTCCGCCATTTTTTTTTGTGCGCCATTTTTTCCCCCTTTTCCGGCGGGTGCCTTACCTCCCTTGGGCTGGGCCAGCTGGTGGTCGGCCTGCTCCGTCTCTGCCGCTTGCCAGCTACGCCTCGGCCGGCGCAGGGGGCGGAACCACGCATGCGCGGTGCTCCCGGGCAGGGAAAGTCCTCGACTTACGACCTGTTGGGTAGTCCTCGACTTACGACCGGTTTAGTCCTCGACTTACGACCGGTTTAGTCCTCGACTTACGACTGGTTGGGGTTGCGGCATTAAAAAGGTTGAGAACCACTGACCTATATGGTAATTCTAGATAAGGCTTCAATGTAGAAAAGTGCCTGGCTACTTAAATTCATATAATTATTGCTATAAGCATGGATTTAAGAAAGATTTTTAAATCTGCAAGGCCTGAAAAGATTCATCTCTTATATCTTATCTGTTATTTCTCAAATGGCAGGAGAAACAAAGCAGGCATTCTAATGCCGATCAGAGCAGGAGATGTTATATATAGGAGAGGAGGAAGCACTTCAGACTTTCTGATCACAGTGGAAAAATAGTAGAGATACATACTTCAGCCAGCCAGCACTACTTGATATTCATGTTTCTGGACTCTTTCCATGGAGAACATGTGACAGAATATAGGTATGAATGACTGAGACCACATCTGCCTGAACTCTGTTTAGTGGCAGGTAGCTAATGTCACCAATAAGGAAGAACAGCAAATCTGATGTCCTAAGCCCTCCAAATCTGCTTGGAGATGACGTACCTTCCCACAGCTGGAGACTTTGTGGTGCAACGGAAGGCCAGATGACTAGACTGTTGGCTTCAAAGAGAGGGTTCTTAAATCGATTGAGCTCTTCTGGCCGATTCACCCAGGACCACAAGGACATTGTCTTCTGAGACAACTTAAGCTTAGACCTGGCGAAAAATTAGAAGTAAATACAAATGCTCCAAATTTGAAAAAGCCAGCAGAATTATCTGTTCTATTCACAACATTTGCAGTTGAACCTGGAGAAGGGATTTTTTTTCTATGTGAAAGACTGATTTTTTTTAAAAAAAGCTCTACAACTTCTGTAACACAAATGAAAAGAAACCATGCCTTTTCAATTTGCAAGTAATAGTATGAGAGAACAAAACAAGATAATACCCCCCTCCCCCCAAAAAAATTCTAGCTAGTAAATTCAGTCCTGGAGAAACTGTAAAGTAGGTGCTCCTGTACTAAAACATTAAAAAGAAAAAAATGTGCAGGATATTCTGTATATTGTAAAAACAAATGGTCTGTACAACTGTACTAGAGAAAACAAAGGAAGTCAATGGACAAAGAAAACATGCATTTCGTATATATGTCTTCTTGGTACTCCTTAAAAATATAAACTGTGCTTTTGGTTAAGTTTTAGCAGTATGAGATGCAAGATCCCCCTTGCAGCCAGAAACACTATAGGATTTCAAAGTGATCTTTGAAACACAACCATGCAATATTTGCAAGAAATTCAAAGTAAACACAGAGACAACACTGCTTGATTAGAAGGGAAATATATACATTAAGTAGGGAAAATATACTCTCTGCTAAGTTAGATCACCAATTCATCATTGTAGTCCTTAGATCTTTAAATATTCAGGCAATCTTTCTAAACCTTGATATCCACAGTTTTCGTTAATTCAAAGTTGGAAAACGTTTTAGTATTTATAGGCTATGACTCCTCCCAGAAACTGCTGTGGACAAGACTGAAATATTGTCCTGATAGCAAAGGGAGAAGGCCAAGATTTTTGTAATTTTGTTTCTGTGTTTGGGGTTGTGGTTCTGTTTCATTTTTTGCTTACTTTACCTATTATGTCTATCAGCAAGAAACTATATCTCTTGTTTCACACCCAAATTTCATCCATGTGATTCCGAAAACTATTGTGAACTTCAGGTTACATGGTTAAATGCAACTGTGCTCAAAACAGTGTCAGAATAACCATTCCTGCTATTATCTCCTTTGGGATCACAGATAGAGAACAGCTGACTTGCAAAAGCTGTATCAGTCTTTGACAGCTCAAAAAAGACCCTCACCATCTTCCAAAACCCTATTCTTCATCCAGTGGTATGTTCTACCATATTGGTGCCATGTCTTCCTATCCATGGAAAGAGGCCTATGAGGGATGGACTTGAGGAGAGGGAAGACTTCAAGAAACCTGCACAACCATTTCTGGAATAGATGAACTAATCCCAATTTGATAAAAGGTACAGCTCACGCGCAAACTTGAAATCTTTTAAATTAATAGCCAAGAGTCCCATAATCTTAATATTAATGACATAAATACTGCCTTGAATAAATGGTAATATTGCTTAGCCTCCAAGAAACTCAGAAAAGAAGTTCATCTACCTTTCATTTTCATTGTTACCCAGGAAGGTTCCAAACTGAGAGGCGTAAGAATGTTCAAAGAGCATGATGAGAAAATGATAGTTGAACTCAAAGGAGCAAGGGAACTGGCGAAGGATCTGCCAGACGCAATCCAAGAAAAGGAGGAATACAGGAGCCTCCCATTTCTGCTTGCTATTTGAATAAGCTGATTGGGCACAGCGCTGTTGAAATGGGTGGCCAGCCTGTAATGTAATAGCATAAAAATATATACATTATATATATATAATCATGTACTGGTTATAAGAAATATTAGCTATTTCTATTACAGCAAATTCTCCTTTTATGAAATAATGACTAATATTAATAAAGATTTATTCTGGATTGCATAAAACATACTACGATATAGAATTATAGTTGGAAGGGGCTAGCTAGACCATAAAGTTCAAACTCTTGCTTAGCATAGAAACCCAAATGACAAACAGTTCTCTTACTTGTGAAGCATCTAGTAAAAAGGAGACTCTTGTAATAGTTGAATTGTTTTATTGTTAGAAAGTGTTCCTTTTTAGTATTCAATGGAAGCTGTCTTTTTCTTACTTAAGTCTACTGGGATGTTAGAATTAGGTTTATTTATTTAAATTTATTAGCCACATAATTTTAATGGACTCTGAGCTACGTGCAAAACTAGAAGAAAATATAAAAACAGCTAAAAGGTGGACAGGACAGCCCAGACTAAAATGATCTAATAAACAACAAAAGTCGACAAAACAAATCAGGGGCCTTAAACAACAAACCTCAACTCCAGAATCCAATCTTGTTGGTCACCGGGACCAGAGGTTTAGTTTCCTCCTTAAAAATACAACATTGTATCACAGCTGCAGTTCAATTCCAGACCTGTGACCAAAGTCAAGTTTTCAAAGCTTTCTAGAATTCTAGGAGAGACTGTGCTAACCTTATCTCTGCGGGGATATTGTTCCAGATTGTATGGATGACAACAGAGAAGACATCACAAGATGTCAATGTTTAATAAAGGGATCTGAAGCACATCTACTCTATTGGATCATGCCAGGTGGCAGATACAGAGATAAGCAATCTCTCTGATATCTAGGCCCTATGCCATAAGAGAGCTTTGTAGGCAATACCCAGCACCTTGAGTTGTACTTGGAAGCCAACTGGCAGTCAATGCAACTCACGTAGCAGTGGTGACATGTTTCATGCAACCCAGTATAAATCGTTATTAATATTAGTCATTATTCATAATTATTGCTCACACCATTGCATTTTGAAACAGCTGTAGCTTCTGGCTGGTCTTCAAGGGCAGCCTCATGTAAAGTGCATTGTAATAATCCAATTGTGAGATGACCAAGGCACAAGTAACCATCTGAAGAGTCTCCCGGTCAAAGAAAGGGCACAACTGGTGCAGATGATGGAAACTGCAAAAAGGCCCTCCAGGCAGTAGCTTCAAGTCTAGAAGAACCTTTCTGGACGTTCTGGGGCCCCCTACACTTTCACAGTGTTTGCACCCACCTTGTTCCCATCCAGTTGATGACTTAATTAAAAATATTTAATAGATATTTGCAGAAAGATATTTGTAGAAAGAGCTGGTATCAGGCGCATTTGGAATCAGTCAGTTCCAGCAACCCAAACTCTTGGCAAATAGTATTTAAGTAAGTGATAAATGATACACTTAGGAAAAGTAATTAGGGAATTAATAAAGGCAACAAAAAAACTCGCAAACGGGGACAGGAAAATTATAACATCATTCTTCTATCATTTCCCAATATTTGTACAGTCTCTGACATTGAGATAAGCAACACACTCAAAACTGGTAACCATTCATAGTTCCATGAATTTGTCTAGTTTTTTTTTTAATTCTAAATCAGTGTCCACTATCAATCCAATGACAGAGGAGCTCCATTATTCAATTATGTTGTATTAAAAAAAACCTTTTTATCAATTTACCTCCATTTAGCTTCAATGTATAATCCTGACTTCCAGCATTATGACAGAGAAGGAAAAAATCTATTTCATGCATGCCTTTCTATGTCTCTATAATATTTTCTCTTACTTCCCCCTGCATCAAGCTCTACCATTAGGCTATAAGGATTAAGGAGCTGAACTAGGACTGGACAACTCTGTGTTCAACTTCAGCCTCTACCTCACAAATTCAAGGGATGATTTGGGGCCAATCACTGTTTACAAGTAACTTACTCCCAGTTTACTGTAGGGAAAAAAATCCACAGGCAGGAATACTATTTATATTGTCTTGAATTCCTACAAGGAGAGGCAGGACATTAACTAACAAATATATTACCTTCAAATATTCTAAATGCTATCATTTCTTTTCCCAAACTCTCTTCTAGTCTTCTGATTACTTGAGTTGCTCTTTTCATGACTTTTTCCAAGTTCTACAATGTAGTTTTAAGATGAAGTGACCCAAACTGCACACAATGCAGTAAATAAAAAATCTAACATTGACAGAAAAGTGATGTTGTAAAATCAACAACTAAGCATGTTAAGTATTAGGACTGTCTTCTCCAAACAAATGGTCTCAAAGTAACATTGAAGGATAGCTTCCATTATCTCCAGCCAATATACAAATTGGAAGGCGCTAGATAAAGAAGGCTGGGCACTGCACTACTTAATCTAATCTTCCCATTCCCCAAAAAACTAAGCATGAGGCAGACATGGAAGCAACTTATTGATCAACAGGGTATGCTCTTCATTGGCTTCATTATCAAATGATTAAAAAATACATATGCAGTAGTAAATGGAATCTAGAAGTATGCAAACCTATTCTTCAGAATATATATTGCTCCAGGCAAACAACACAGGATTCTTTTTTTTTCTTTACACTCTTCCGGTGAATTTCCCAGAGACATAATTTTCAAAGGATCAGAGAAAGGAGAAACTTCCTAACAGTGAGGACAATTAGCCAGTGGAACAGCTTGCCTTCAGACTTTGTGGGTGCTTCATCACTCGAGGTTTTTAAGAGACTGGACAGCCATTTGTCTGAGATGATATAGAGACTCCTGCTTAAGCAGGAGGCTGGACTAGAAGACCTCCAAGGTTTCTTCCAGCTCTATTCTGATTGACTGAAAGTCACATTTGAAAATAAGATGCTGAATTGATCTAATTCAGGATCCAATCTGGGTTGGTCACCGGGAATAGAGATTTTGTCTTCCAAGCTTTCGGACTCGTGCTGGAGCCCATCCTCAGGGAACTTCTCTCTAATAGTGTGTGTGCTGTTCTGTGTGTGGTATTTATAGTGCCTGCTGTAAGTGGCTCTTTAGATATTGATTGGGGTATGTTGATGGCTGGCTTTTAAGTCATTAGCTGTCATTTGCTAGTGTTGCCCAGCTCTTGCCTTCTAAGTACTTGATAGGCTGGTGGTAAATCAGCACTCCTGTTGACTGACGAGGAGCCTGTTTCCCAGGCTTCAATCAGTTCCCTGGCTGTTTTTGTGCCTGCTCTTCCAATAATTTTAGTAGCTGCAAAATTGAATGTGTCCCCTTGTACATTGCAATGTGAGGCTACCAATGAGTTCAGGTCTCCTCATCTGAACGCTTGTGTTCTTAAAATCTGGTGGTTAGCCTCCTTCCCGTCTGTCCTACATGGTCATAGGAGCAAACCATGCAGGCAATCCATGATCTGATTCAATAGAGTTGTTCTTAGTCTTATATTGTCAGTCCTGCCTATTTATGCTATCATGGCTTACAATTTTAGGACACTTTTCCTCTTCCACTTTTTTGTGAAGCATCTTGCATTAATTGTCCAACTGTTTTCCTGATAATGTCGTACAGAGAATATAAATAGGACAGACACGTATGTCTCACATGGGTCTCTGTGCAAGCTGTTGTGAGGCTTCAAGCCAATGGCAGCAAATTGGCAGTTCTTTTTGAAAGGAAGCTGTCACATGAACTCATATTTGAGTCACAGTATATTCCTACCAATTACGGCTTCATGGTGGACTATATCTTGAATGAGCGCACAAGAGATGCAGTCATGTGCAAAACTGCCAACAGTGTAGGAGAGAGATAGCTGAAACATTAAATATATGCATGGGCACACATTCTTCTTTGTTTTCTTATGAATATAATTTAGTAAGCTCTGGTTTGTTGCTAGAAACTTTCAAATAATTGAAGAATGGACAAGTTCCTTCTCATATTACATTCTTCTGATCTTGATGAGTTAAAAGAAGGGTTATAAGGTCAAGGTTGTATCCTTGATAGAACAGACACCACAGTAAAGCATAAGAAATAGATTTAATAATCCCCACTGAAGAAAGGCAAAGATGGGCTTGTAAAGATTACATTTTCCAGTTAAAATTATTCCCTTCACAGTCTTTGGGAATCTGAAGGATTCTTGAACACTCTGGATAGTTTTCAAGGCACAATGGTTAGAATTCTGCTGAGGCCCCGTGAAATGGTAAGATGAGAAAGATCCCTGAATGATTGCTCCCGAGTGTCCTCTTTGCTTACAGGAAGCATCTTGGTTTACTCTGGTGTCTATAGCAATGATGCAAACTAGCAGACAACTGTAGCACAGATGGTTAAATTTAGCAGCAAATTTATGTGAGCACAATCTCTCTATATGTAGTGATGGCAGAGCTTAGTTTTCTACCATCACTATATCACCAGTAAATGACCAACACAGTTTTCTCAGGCAGGAGGATGGACTGTACAAGGTAAGACCAACAGCAGATTCAGCTGAACAGTAAAAACTTGCAATAAGTTTGTAAAACATTTTAAGGATTAGGTTTTTCACCCCTGACCCAAAGCAAGGTGCAAAAGTAGCTATTTGCTACAGATGGATGACCTAAAATTACTAGCAAAATCAAAAGCAGAACTTGAATTTCTACTGAACAGTGTTCATGCATTCAGTGACAACATAGGAATGCAATTCAGTTTATCCAAATGTGCAACTTCAATAATTAAAGGAGGCAAAGTTCTTGGTGTACTACAGCCAATGAATAAATTACAACTGAAGAATTCCATTAATTAAGATTAATGGAAGCTTCCAGCTTACTACATGAGTAAGTTGAAAAGAATACTAATTTTAATGATATAAAATGAATCTGAAAAATGTTGAAAACAACATTAAATGCAACAAATATAATTAAAGCCATAAATACTTCGGATGATCCAATTAACTGACATGCTGCAGTAAAATTGACTAAGGCTCTACTTCACCAGAAGTAAAGGTGGGAGGAGATTTTTTTCCAAG